AGTTAGACTAGAAGTTAGTACTTCTTTCGTTACTGGGAGTCTGAATGGATGGACAAAGGCAGATGAGATTCAAGAAGTTCTCTTGCCTGGCCCAGGTCATCTGATTGCAGCCTGGTGATGCTGCCCAGGCCCTAATGCTTCCCAGGTCAAAGCTGGACTCAAAGGAGATGGTCAGCACTCGGGCGCTCTCTAAGACATAGGTACCTAGAAATCCAGATTTTTCAGAAGCCTTGAATTTGAAACACCTGTAGGCATATAACCATGGGAACTACCAAGTGGCTTAGAGACAAGTGTCAGGTCTTGCCTGGAGGTTGCTGGGAAGGACAGTAGCTCTGCCAACCTGGCACACACCAGAGGTATCTGTGGTTGCAGCAAACCAAAGGCTCTGTTCTCTTGGCTTCCACTGGCCCTGTCTGGATGCTTCTGGAAGCCTGCAAGGAAGGCCAGAGAGGAGGCCTGAGTACCACTGACAAGAGGGGAGGGATGCTGGCCAGTTTAAAAAGGGAAAAAGATGATCTGGAAATGTTTAGAAGGAAGAGGAGTAATTATACCTGTTATATGTATATTCAAAAAGCTTGGCAGCTTGGAAAATAGGGCCCAGAGCTGCCATTTCTTCCCATTTCCTGTAATTTCTCCTCCTATTGTCCAGGGCTCCCTGAGCCAGCTCGCCCTTCTCCCAGATGGTCCCTTCTCCTTGACAGCTGCTGGTTCCTTAGCAGCCCCACCAGAACTCACTTTAGTCCAAGGAGACTAGTGAAAAGGAGTGGCTCCTATCTTAGGAAGCACTGGGCACGGACATCAGGGGTGACCAGGGTCACTGTATTGGCCACAGAGACTTGACAACGGGCAGTGGCAGTTGTGTAGCTGTGTGGGGAACACTGAGGGCAGGGGTGTCTGCCACATGAAATCTAGGGCTGTGGGAAAACAGAGCAAGTGTAGCTCATGTTGCGTATCCAGGTCCAATGCGTTGTGTGGACCTTGAGATCCTCTTCACCCAGGGCTCATCTCCAGGTTGAGCAGCCTGGACATCCAGATCTCCTTGGGGTCTGTCCTCAGACTGCACAGCCCACAGGTCTCAGGACTCTGAAAGCGCTGTGTGAGAACAAGATTCCTCTGACAGCAGCAAAATCCCCTGGAGAGATGGCCTGGAACTGAACTCCGACAGACACCCATGCTGCAGAGACTCTCCCCTGGCAGCAACCAATGTTCGGGCACTGGCTGTTCATCCTTAGGACTGCCCCCCTGTCCCCGCACCCAGGGCGGCAATATGACTCATGAGGCCTTTAAAAGAAATGAATCTGGAGAATGGTCCTGAATGGGAGCCCTGTGCCTGAGTACCACAGCTGTGCCAGCTGACGGGTAGTGGGTACTGTGATAGGGTGTAACAGCACTCACTACTGGGCCAGCCTTTTCACCTCCCACTGCTATTCTAAGAGCTTAGATACAAGATGTGGGAGCACCAAGGAGGCAGGGATATCCTTGTCCATCCCAAGACACAGTGTACAGAACACAGAACAGGCAGCATATCCACATTTGGTGTCTACAGAAGTCACACAGGACCTCTGAGAAGCTGGGGTTATCTAAGAATGCTGGAGTTCCCTTCTTTGTGGCTGCGGCACAAAGGAATTACTCCTGTCTTGTGACAAGAGTGAGCTCAGGGCCTGAAGGTTGGCTGTGGTGTTGATCAGTAAGACTTTTCTCCCTTAATCTGCCCAACCCAGTGTGGATTTTCGACTCTCATTTCTCATAAGGAAAGAGTACTTCTTTCATTACCTGGGTTTCATCAGTAACAGGGCCTTGGGGCAGCCATTCTCTCCAGTCTGGTTATTGAGAAAGTGAGGGAGCTCAATCAGCAAGCAGATCAAAAGGTTGAGGACACAATGATCCTTGACAAAATAACTGTTTTGACAGAGGGCTTGTGGAAATGAGGTAACCTCACCAGGCGATTAAGGGCAGGTGCACAAATCTGGCCGTAACTCCACACCTGGGGGGCACAAACCAGCTGTGACCAGCCATTTCCGTTGTAACCACCCCTGTATCAGTTCCCAAATGAGAGGGTCCTTCAAGACGGTGCTTTTAATTCCACTTGCCAGCTCCTACCCATAATGAAGTTTTCTCCATCTCTGCCGCACCCCTTGCCTCTCTGCTGTTCCGCTGTGCTTCAAGCAACATAAGCCTGGTCCTGAAGGACAGAGCCAGACAGACCTATGGGCCTGCATGCAGGGAACGCCAAACACGTGGACTCCCTTTGCCTTTTATAGGCAAAGATAGCTCCAATTTGATGCTCACCTTGCATTTTCCTGCTCCGGGCTGTGGGCAGAGTGGGGAAAGCTAGGGATGTCTAGGATGGAGGATCCCAACATTTGGATCTTAGCATCTACTGGGCTGTGCCCCTGCAGTAGCCCTAGGCTCCACAGGAGGTGGATATGACCACACTGGACGGAGGAGGGAAGCCAGCACATCTTTGTCCTTAGTGTTGCATTGGCTCATACAGTCCTGGCTCCCAGGTGTCATCATTTCATTTCTTGCCACTGACCTGCTGGCTGAGGTCCCCACACTCACATCCTACTAGACTATGTCCTGGCCCTGGGCCCTCAGTCCATTCACTCTGCCACAAGACTACTGAGTTTGGTAGGAACACAGGAGTTCTCTGCCTTCAACTCATGTAGCAGGAGAGAAAGATCCTACTGCTGCTGCTCCACTCCTTCTAGGAAAACGCAGGTTTAAAAGGAAGACTTGTTTGACTGGCTTCCTGTAAGAAAAATATTAAAAAACTCAGTCAAGGCCAGCAGCTCATGCGTGCCAGCGGCACTCTGCCTTGATGACCCCTTGCCACTGCCACTTGGGGTAAGCCTACCCTGGAGATATCTGGACCTGGGGTGTCAGGTAAGAGTCCCAGAGAGAACAGGACACACAACAGAGTCCAGGGCCATGCAGCTGAAAAGAGCACTTGCTCTCAAACTCTGGACAGATTCTGGGTTTGCCTTCCAGATGAGCCTGCTTCCAAAGAAAACAACAAACCAAACCAAACCAAACCAAACCAAACCAAACCAAACCAAACCAAACAATGAAAAGACCCGAGGGCCGAAGCCCTGGGAGAAGCGCAGCCCCTGGGTCTGGCTTCCTATTAGATGTAAAGCCCAGGGTGACTCAGGCTTTCTCTCTTCACCCAGCTCTGAGCTGTTTCCTTCCTAGGCCTCGGTGTAGGGGTTAGGTGCAGCTCCATCCTGCCCACCACACTGCAGCCCCAACCTTGTAGATCTGCCCCAGGGCAGGTCTGTCTCCTGGGCGTCAGCACACACTGCTGACAGCCAATCCAGAAGTCCTTTCTGGTAAACAGAACACAGGATGTTTCCAAGCAGTTAGGAGCCGAAAGGCTTCAGAGGAGGGGCCCATGTAAAGCAGTGTTCAATCCTGGAGCACCGCATAACCCTACACTTAATATTAAAGCGTGGCCTGACTCCAGGTCTTGGGCCTCCCGGTACCCTTCATCCTGCAAGTGGCCGCCTAGTCACATGCTGCCCTCAGTGCACTGCTTTGCCTGTGAGCGGCTATTTGCCATTGTCTCCATGGCTGTGTGGTGGGTTGCAGTTGGCAGCAGTCTGATGCCTGGGGAGCATGCCAGCTGCCCTCAGGCTGGGCCTTGCTCTACTGGAGACGGAGAAAGCCATGAGGTTGTTACATCCATGAGAACTTTCTTTTCAACAGAAAACACACAGAACCAGTGTTGAGATACTGGCTCCTGATCCTCAGAGCTCTGAGGCTGCCAATGTGGGCTATGCAAAGAGCATGGTTTTATTTCAGCTCTGATCTGTTTTAAATTGTGGTAAGGATTTTTGTGAAACTAACGAGGCAGCACACTGAAACCAGATCAGAGCATCTACCAGTCTCCTCTGCAGGCCTGAAACCTGGAGGAGCCTGGGAAAGGGTCATCTTCCTTTGCCTCCCAACAGGGCACACAGGAAATGGGCAGGTGGACTTCTGTGGCAACCTAAGTCACAGGGTAACATACTCAGGGAGCAGAGTCACCAGGGAAAGAATCGAGCCGGTGGGCTCTGAGGGGCTGGGCCCGTGCTGGGCTGACACGCTTGCCGACATGGCTGAGGTCCGTGGACAACGGCCCAGCACCCACTGCTGAGGACGCTGCATGTCTGCTGCTCTGCAGGGTTTCAGTGGCAGCAGCTCAGTCTAACCATGGGCAGTAGGTACAGCCAAGGCAAAGATGCTTGTCCTCTTTAACCCTCCCTGGGGTTCGTATGCTACCCAGACCACAACGCTCCAGGGCTGGCCCATTTCAGAAGAAGGCAGCAGGGCAAGGGAGGCAGGCGGCAACAGCGGTAAGGCTCAACAGACTTTTCTGGAAGATCAAAGTGTTCTCTTCTGTACTAATACTGCCTTCCGTACTGTCTCACACTGACACTACCTCTCATGTGCTGTGCACACCTGAATGGGTACCAGTGCTACTAGGGAACTGAGTGCTAAATGTCAGTAAGTTTTAATTAAGTCACATGTAAATCACATGTGCTGCAAGCAGCCACAGCAGGGGTCTCAGTACAAACTCACAGCTTCGGACAACTTAAAGGAGCTCCTGAAGAGCGAGCGGATGGATCAACACTAGCTCATCAGGACTCTTTCCCTCTAGGTTCCAATACAGGTGAGCAGAAAAATTCAATTTTTTTTTTCCACTTGGGACTGGCACCCTAATTTTTAGTAATAGCATCTGATCTTGTATCTGTACCCATATTTTATACTCAGCTTGCTCTTCAGAGATAGGAGCAAGGAGGCTCCGAGGATGGCCAGGAAGTGAGCCTGCTCTAGAAGTCACTGTTCTGAGGGTCTATGGTGATTCTTCTTTCCCTTTAATGTGCACTGTTAAATGAAGAACAAATGCCCCAGGAAAATGCTCAACACTGTGTGAATGACCCAGACTGCAGGGAGGGGATGAAGGCTGCAGGGCTGAGCTCGCCAGCAGGCATGTGTGTGCCATGCAGACACAGGAGGGGGGCTAGAGAGCCAGCTTTATTTCATGAAGCTAAGAGGGCTCAAGGAAACAGCACTGGGACATGGGCTCCAGTGGGAGCTGGCCTTTCAGAGCACACCAGCTGCACTTAGTTTCCCCCAGATGATTCCAAAACAAAACTAGAAGGTTCCAGAACCTTTTCAATGGAAGTTGATTCTTTCAACTCTAAGCACAGAGCAGACTGATTTTGCTAGACCATTTCTTCTGGCAATTTCTTGATCATCTGTTTCTTTCCTGTTGTCTTGTAAAGGTCAGGAGTTCATAGAGTTGGGTAGAACAGACATCTTCATGGTTGTGACACACCTGGGCAGAGGGGATCATTCACTTCAGCCAGATCCACTTGTCACCCACCTCGGCATTGAACCCAGGGGCATACTTGCGGCCTGGCAGCTGTGGGGGAAGACAACAAAACACTGTTTAGAGTAAAGACCACTTTCCCAACCCCCGGAGTTGATTAGTTATTGCCACGTAGTCCCCAGGGAAGCACCTGAGAATAGGGATCCACCATAATGAAGCAGCCTTGCCCACAGAAGCCCTTTCCAGGACAAAGATTCCCTAGCATTGTCAGTGATGTCATTAAAGGGATGGACAGGAGGGACAAGAAATTGGTAGCACTCAGTAAGAACTGACAGAGGGAACTGGGTCTAGGAAATGTCTTTTTCTCAAGCCCTGACTGCCTGTTTGACTGCTGTGAATGGAGACATCATGTTAGCTTTGGGAACCAGTGATGAAATCATTACTAAGAGGCCACGGTCTGAGATCTTTGGCTTCTGTGACAATATTGAATCCTCATCAGGACTCCTCCTGGTTATCCTGCTGCTGCCCTGTGTCATGGAGATCCTGCAGCTTTGGAACAGCAGGACTGGGCCTTTCACAAATGCTAGACAATCACAGATGGTATAGATTTTGGGGTGGGCCAATTCAGAACCCTGGATCTGGGCCTGGATGGTAGCTGAGCTGGTCAGCCATCAACTCTCCCTTATCACACTACCGGGGCAAGCTCTCCAGCACTGCTCTGGCTAAGCCACCCAGTGCAGCCATCAGCAGGAGGCAGGGGCAGCTCTCCTGCTCAAGCACACAGCCAGCTCTACTGTGCTGCCCAGTCGAGGTTTGGGGACTCCTCTTCCAAGCGCTGCAGCCTGTGTGGGGCTGGGCCAGTTCACCCGCTCTCACACCCTCGGGGCTGCCTCACCAGTGCCTTTGCCATCAGGGCCACTACACCATACTGCCCACTTTCCAGAGTGCTACAGCCAGGAGAGGGCAGGGCCAGCTTCCCACTTGCATGGCCCCAGGGCCAGCTCTTCTGACCGCCACAGGTGATGAGGGGCAAGGGGGGCGAGGCATTACCTCCTTACTCATGCCACCTCATGGCAGATGAGTGGCAGCAGGTCTCCCAAGACCAATGACTCACTGCGATGAACAAGTAAGGATGTGTGGACAGAGGGATATACTGTGGGACACACTGTGACAGCCGACTGCTTCCACGAAGACATATTTTCTAGGCTTTTTTTGTCATTGTTTATTTTCTTGGGGGGGAGGTTTCAAGCGTAGTGAAGTGTGCCTATGAGGGGATGGGGAGGTGAGTGGGACTGGGCTGCATGATGTGAAACTCACAAAGAATCAATAAAAAGCTTAAAAAGAAGTTGCTGATTTACTCACGAATTTCCTACACTTACTAACTGATGCTAGAATGGCACCGACTGGATCACTGATACTCAAAACATTCAAGGAACCTCTTTTTTTGCTATCTTAGCTAATATTAATGTATTAGTATTTTAGGAACTTAAGTAAAACCTTGAGAAGTTTTTCAGGCAATGGCTTATTCTGAAATATTGATGTGAACTTTGAATCTTGGAGTTTTTTCAGAGCTCATTACTGTAAATACTTCAGCTCATCCTTGCGAGTTTCAGTAGTTTGTGGTGTAGAAATCATGTATTCAGAGATGTATACTGTAGTATCCTGTTTTGTACTAACTTTATTTTTCCCTTTTTAGAAAAAGAAAAAAAAAAAAAAAGAAAGAAAGAAAGAAAAAAAAGAGACCATGGTCAGCAGGATCTTGGCTTGGAAGAAAATGTAAGGGGAGAATGTGAACTTAACTGGGAAGTGTGGGCAGGTAAGGGAGACAGCACAGGGCTGGGGTGAAGATGGACGAGGTTAGGCCTTGGGAAGCCACAGAAATGCCCTGGCCTGAAGGAACACTGACAGGAAGCTACTCTGGAAGTAAGAAAGCCATGGGAGAGGACCTGGAGCTGTCACTGAGAGCTGAAAGGATCCAGACCTCAGCCTGCCTCTGCCAGCAGCTCTGCCCTTCCCCAGCTAGATGGCGCAGACAAGAACCCAGGTACTAACAGCCACAGAGCTCAGAAAGAACTATAGACAGGCAAAGGGCATGACAGGGACCTGCTTAGGGTAACAAGAGGAGGATGCTCCACACAGCCACAAGAGCAGCCTATCAGCACAGGGGATACATGAGGACAGGCCAAGGCTGGGAGCACCCCTCTCCTACCCACTATTTCCCCAGAGCTAGCAGCAAGCTTTCCTGCAGAGAAGGTAGTGTGGGGAGAAGACCCAGCAGAACAGCCGCTCCAACTGCTTCTTCTCACATGTTGAACAATCTACACAATTATGTCTGACGAGCAGAACACATAAACCCTTTAGAGGATTATCTGAGTAGGTTTGTATTACATCAGTGGCCAGTTAGCTGGCATACCCTGAGATTTTCAACCACCATGGTTCCAAATTTTAAACTAGAGTAAGTAAAAACTACTTAGACCATCAACCTGCTAAACCTCACCAATGCCTTCAGCAGGCTGAAGACCATCAACCTGCTGAACCTCACCAATGCCTACTAACTGATTCACAAAATCCATTCTCTGGAATTCTTGGGGGCATTTAATTGGCCTATAAAATCCAGTTAGGGGTGCTCTGCTCTCAATTTCTGGGAGAAGGCACAGCACTTGAACATATACAAAAGCACCCCTAAGTTCCCAGTATCTAATTGTGTACTCATCTGTGGGCTGGAAGGCCCTGGCAGCAGGAGACAGAAGCTCTGCAGGATGTGCAGGTACTTTTCATACAGAGTTAGTCACATGGCTTGAGCACACAGCTATTCTATCCACAGAGCAAGAATCTGCACCTGTCTCCCACCTCTGGAGCGTGTCCTGGGTCTAAGTCCCTAGATACCTCATTCTACCCAATCCAGTCTGAGGGTAGAGCTGTGCACTGCCAAGCCCTGCTGTTTCCAGCCCCCAACTCCTTAAAATGCTTCCCCTCGATATGTGCTTAGGATAAACTAGAAACAGAACTGCTTGCTGAAGCAAATCAGCCTGAACAGCAGGTGTAGACAGCAACAACCCCTCCCCCCCCCCCACCATGGGTTTAACTTGACAGTGTGGAAGAGCTGGTCTGGATTACTCTGCTGAGACTTAGGCATGGGAGCCAACTCAGCAGTGCCTCCCTTCAAAAAATCTAACTACATTCTTCGTCTCCTAGGGCCTCCACAAGGATCAGCAAACTGGCTTCACTTCAGCCCCAGCTCACTGACTGTCCTGCAAACAATGCACCATCCTACCCACTGTGTGCAAGTTGGCTATGTTGGCTTCACCCTGGTCAGGTGGGAGCTTGAGAGGCAGTGGCAATATGTCATCTTGTGTATACCAAGTGAACCTAGTTCTGGATTCATGTGACATAAAGGAATGGGGCTCTGAGAGCTGTAAATGGTGCCTCTCTCTGCACGTCACAGCCAGCTTGAGTGGACACTTCCATCTTAAGGCAGGCTAGCAGTGGAAAAGTCCGTCCCTGACCATATACTGGACTTGGGTCAAGGTGTAACACAGTAGCCTCCAGTACTAGAGCCTGACAACCTGACACCTGCTATCAACTAATAGCAGCTTCCCAACATGGCTTGCTACTGCGCCTGGCCTCTCCCCTCCAGCCAGAAGAAGCACTAAGAACTGGAAAGCTGAGTCCCATGTCCTCTCTGATTCTGAAGAGGCCACAGTATGCGGTAAGGTAGGGATGTAGGGTCTAGGCAGAGAAAGTGCTCCAGAATTTGTTACAGGACCACTGGTCTTTGGCTGAACACCTGGTGACATCCTACAAGGCTGGACCAACAGCCTCCAGGAGCTGTAAGCAGAATGAATCCACAGCTACTCACTGAAGGCTGTGGGTCAGATGGGTGCCCATCAGCCCCTCCACACACATGAGCACGAGAGCGATCTCAGGCCGTAACGGCCCCCCAAACAGGCTATACTAGAGGCATTGGAAAGCTGGAATTCATGCCTAATGCTGATGTGCATGTAACTGCACTGCAGCCAGAAAGCTTCTAACACTTGTCTCAGAATAGAACAAAATCTAGCATTCCAGACCATAAAACTCACAATGTATTGCAGCCAGTGATAAAAATCCAGACACGTGCAAGTGGAAAATATGACCCTCAACCAGAGGGAAAATCAGGCTGACTCAGAAATGCCGAAAATGATGCATTAGTGAAGAGTGATGTTAGAGCATCTGTTAGGAAAGTGCTCGATATGTTCTGAGAACAAAATGACAGATGACAGAAATAAGGGAGAAATGGAAAACACAAAGGACCAGGCAGAAATAACGAGTTTAAAAATAAGATTCCTGAAGTACAGTTCTATTGGATGGGTGTGGGGGTTCATGCAAATGTGCTATGTGGGGCTCCTGCTGTGAGGCTATGAATGACCCATCCTTGGTACTCACTGCCCTGCCCAGGCAAGACCATCCCTTCCCTGTCAATGGCTGGATGCAAAGGAGTAGTGCCAGTATGTTTTGTGGCTACAAGCTTCTCCCAGAGGTACCCTCTCTAGCCTGGATCACATCACCTGGATCTATCCTTCCTGCTTCCTCCTAATACATTGCTTCAATACTTCCTTGTCTTCAGTTTCTTTGAAGAGCACAGTGGAATGACAGGACATTTCTTAACAGCATAGAAAAGAGTAGTGAACACGAGAACGTAACAGAATTGACTCAAAGTGAGGCAGAAAGAAAAAGGGCAAAACAGTTCCAGTGACCCATGAAAACTTCTATCTAGTGCATGTGTAAATAGATCTCCCAAACTGTCAAGGAAAATGGCTGAACCTTTTCCAAAAGCTTTGAAAGGTACAGCTACCACACCTAGAAACTCAGTGAACCTCTGCAAGATACAGACAGAAACCAGCACCCAGAGGCACATCACAACAAAACCCAGAAAGTAAGCAGTAAAAAGGTTGCAGAAATCCTGAAAGCAGCAGAGATAAAAGGGTTTTGGGACACCAAGACCAAAGACAAGAGTGGTTGGACCTCTCATTAGAAACAATGCAGGCACAAGGCACAGAGACTACTGCTGTAAGAGTGGTCAAGCTAGAATCCTGCATCAACTGAAAATACCT